GTAAGGTAGTAAAGCTGTTTCACTTAAGTAATTTTGCTGTGCCATGTTTCTGTTACATGTGATAGAAACTGCGATAATTAGAAGACGATAATTAATTTTGTCTTACCTGTCATATCAGTTTGAATAATATACTTTTAAACCTTTTTCTATTAATCTATATATAATTCAAGTATATAAAATTTATTGATGTGCAAAGAATAAAATTTTTACATTTCGAAATGGAACATTTCTGCATTTAAATATAGCCATTTGCCCTTTTACTTACAGAGGTTTTAACATTTCCGAAGTACTCTTTGGCAGCCAAAATGCAATTGCCTTTATAATAAAATTGTTTTTCGTGTAATATTCCTGATTTTCGACAAAGTTCTTTTTCTTATCTTTTTTTTCTTTAGTCTGCTTATGCTTGGATAAAACATGCAATTTTATTTTCTTTTCTGCATAATGACTAACAATTAGTGATAAAACTGATAAAGAAAGTTAAACAGGCATTTTAGAAAAGCATTGTAAGATCTAGTCTTCGTTGCTAATGCACACTGCAACTAGATCTACTTGAACTTTTGTTTAGCAACGTATCGCTCAAAATAAAAGAATACAATAGGGGAATGGTGTAAAAGATCCTTTTATTGAACTCAATTATTTACAGACGGCCCGAGGTTAAGTGCTTACACTGTCAGTAGCCACTTAAAGGCTACTGACAGTGTAAGCACTTAACCTTAGTGCTTTCTTAAAGTGAAGAACTTAAAGATAATGTAGCAAACTAAATTTAAAGGAAAACTAGTAGGTAAAGACTAAACAATTTAATTTAACCTAGCAGGTTGACACAGAAACCTACACCGGTATGGTATTAAACTTTCGTCGCAAGAATTAGAAAGCGATTTTGAAAATTCAAACAACTGGTAAATGTAACAACGTGCGCACTCAATAGGAAAAATACGCTATGACTAACCTTTTCACTACTGCAGTTTAAATGCACTCTTGCGCATTCTAACTCATTTACATCAATGCGAGAAGACGCAAGGGAAGTCAGAAAGGCCAACAACTTAAACTATTAGTAAAAATAATAGAAACCCTACAATATCAGCTTTTGAAGAAAATGCTAGTTCTTACACAATATTCTTAAATTCTATTATAGAAGGTTGGTATTTCAGTAGATGGAGAGACAGAAATCTTACGTCTAAGGAGAGACAATAAAGAGATATCTAAGTATAGAACAATGCTGCCTTGTGTATGCATGATAGGAAGGACGATAAAAGTGCTCGAAGATTCCTTGTAGACTATCTAACAATTGACTGAATACTTAAATCTCTTGCAGTTTTATTTCTATGGTATTTTCTCCTAAATCCTTTCCTATTTGTTGGCTGAGAGATTTATACCGAAACCTATTGTAGTGGGATTTACCTTTTCCTTTTCTTTTTTTCTGGATAGAAGGATTTTTCTCTCCAAGTTGAACTTTTTTTAACATTTGGCTCTTCCTCATCGGTGTATTTTCGGATGGCACTTGCTGCTTAGAAGTATGAATCAAAAATAAGACGCGTGCACTAAGAAGTGACTAGAGTGAAAGTGATTGTTAGATTTCTTAGTAACACATAAATAGAAAATTTTAGGGTTGAAATGAAAACAAGGAAAATTAACAATTGTTTAAAATTTCCGAGTCTTTCTCTTGCTACAGCTCATTTTGTTTAGTTCACCACTTGTTCAATAAAAAATGTACAGCATGATTTTACAAAATTCGGACTGAAATAAAAATTTCTGATTATTTTTCAAGATAGAAGCAATAGTACGAACTTTATAAATTATAGCAATAATTTATGGATATATCAAATAATTCACACGTGAGGCATTTTGTTTTTAAGCTTTAAACAATGATAGTGTGAAACCATAACATTAATTTAGCACTTTATAGTTTGCTGCATTTGTTAGCGTAATCGTTTTTTCCAAAACTTGCTTACCTGTTTATATATGCAGTATGTACAACATTTAGCAATGGGCTGTCTTATTTGTATACTCTTTCTAATTTTAATTTTGGTTCGTTTTATTAACAAACATGCTATTGAAAACAAATCTAGAGCACATTCAAATAATCCATACAGTACTTTATCAATTAAAATAATGTATGAAGAAATGTGTTAAAATACAGCGTATTTAAAGAACGTTAATCCGTTTTTAATCAGATTTCATTAAACGATTATAATTTCTTTGGTTTTAAGTGAATAAAACATTTATTGAGCTAGGTTAAAACTATATTTTGTACAAACTTTCAAGAAATAACAGCTAGGTTTCATGCAGTATTTTAAAATATATTCTTCTCCTATACCTCACTTCAAACACTGCCATCACTCTTCAGAAACTAAAAGTGTTAATTTTAAAGTAAGCTATATATGTATTTAAGAAATACGAATGGATTTATTTGTCAAGGTAATTAATAACTTATTAGGTATTTCTCCCTCTTTCCTAGCGTGCCTTCGTGGTGTAGGGATTCTGCACGTTGGGCCGGTATTCCAGACATCCGTGATTCGATTCCCGGAGAAGGCGATTGCTAATTTTTCAACTCTCCGGCTCTTCCAATGTCTCTAGAAACGCCAGCGTACTTATTATTTCCTTTTATGAAAATCAGAATGTAAATATTTCCAAAAAAGGAAATGGCAATTATACTTATGTTCATAGAATATCGAAATCTGCATAAAAGTAACCACAGGAAAGAGTTGTATATGTTCATAATAAAATAATTACATCTTACATTTACAAAAGGTTGAGATGTTGAGAACCCCTGTTCTACTGGGTGTATCAACAGATACATAATAGAAGCTTATGGATAGGTCTACCTTCATTGTACTACGCTCCAGGGATCAGGCTTATGTGATCAATGGTGATACTCGTGTAACTTTGAACATTAAAAAAAATTATGTATGGTTTTTACGAGAACACGTACAGATAATTATATGTTTCCATAACATTACAATCAATAGGCTAATACCTGAGGGCTATGATCCATTGCTTCTTATTGTTAACTTCCCATTTTTTTGTCGCTCATTTACGATAGGCATTCGGATTAAATTTTATCCGAGCAGGCTACTTTTTCCAGTCATTTCAAGTATGTTTTCTCACCGTAAATGAATTTTGAAGTAGTAAGTAATAATGAGTAAGACTTTAAGATAACTAAGATCTGTAAAGGGACCCATATTGTTGTTTTTTGTCACTACGTCGCAATCTGAGAGGGGGTAATTTTTGCGCTTGTTGCTTTCGGTAGCATTTTCCCAGGTTCTCTTTCCGGTATAGATCCTGATTCCTCGTCACCCGTTACGACTATAGTAACCTACCACTATCCCTGGGAAAGGCCTGAGTCTGTTGCGGAAATTGTTGCACATAACGAAATCCAGTTTTGTAACTATGTGTAGGGAGATTCTTCGCTAGATTATCTTTCTTGATTATCTTTATTGCACAGTTATGTAATAGAATAGCACGCATATGACCTCTTTATAACCTTCCACAGTTAACGTTATCAACATTTTTATTTATTTATTTTGGTCTTAATAAAGATCTAGTTTTGATTTTTTTTATCGCATTCCTCATCAATGATTGTCCCTTTCACATTTAATTCCTCTGGGATCATCAAGAACATTTACTACTTCATCCAACCATTACAAGGATATGGAAAAGAACGAAAGGTCTTTTACATTTTTTTAGATGGTGCCGTAATAAAATATATGCAAGTTCTCGAAAATTCAACCACCTGTCAGTTTGTGGTATTTGTCTTTCATTTAGTTGCAGTTCAAGAAGGCGATAAAAGAAAACCACTGATTGCATTTCTGTTAATTAAGTCTATGGAAGTTACCGTCATTTTGCTTTCATATTGCACAAGTCCATACTAATATCCGTGCTTTGAAATTGCCTTAATCACGCATTATTCCCATTTTATAGCGGTTTAATAACACGTGTAAGTAATTTTCTGAAAATTATCTGTCATCGCACTTGTTAAGCCAGTGGTAAAATCTCGATTTTGATGATTATCGGATAATAATGGGCGTGCTCAGTATAAATTATATATATATATATAAATTTAAACGAATGAAATTTAAATTTTAACAAACACGTATAAAAGTAAAAAAGCAAATTTAAAGCCCCCAAAAAAGTTTTAAAAAAATGTGTAAACATATAAAAGATTTAAAATATTTAATTCTCGAACTAATCTACAATATCATTTAAATTCAGAATCATAAGCAAATCAAGTGCAAACCAATCCACGAAAATAAATTCACTAATTTAGCAAATTAAAATTAATCCAAACAATTTTTTTAAAAGTGCATAAGTGAATGACTGTTGAGCAGGCAGGAGACAGACTTATCAAGGGGAAGTTGCCTCCAAACCTAACTCTCCAATCATTCAATGCGTGTTTCGTTATTCATGCAGGAATGGTCATTCATATAGTTCATATAATTCAGTTTCGTCATTCATATATGGAGAGTTAGGTTTGGAGGCAATTTCCCCTCTATAAGTCTGTCTCCTCCCTGCTCAACAGTAATTCACTTATGCATTTTTAAAAAAAATTGTTTGGATTAATTTTAATTTGCTAAATTAGTGAATTTATTTTCATGGATTGGTTTGCACTTGATTTGCTTATGCTTCTGAATTTAAATGATATTGTAGATTAGTTCGAGAATTAAATCTTTTAAATCTTTTATATGTTTACACATTTTTTTTTTATTTATTTACTTTTTTTCTTTAAATTTGCTTTTTTTAATTTTGGCTTTAAATTTGCTTTTTTTAATTTGCTTTTTTACTTTTATACGTGTTTGTTAAAATTTAAATTTCATTCCTTGCAGCAATGGCGCAAAGAATTTATTTAATTAAATTTTTTATTTAAATTTAATGAATTTATTTAATTAAATTTAATTAAATTCAATTTTTTCTTATGAAACAATTTTTATATATATATATATATATAATTTTAAAAAAAATCTTAAAAGATAAATTAAAGAACAAAGATTTGAAATTTTACTTACACTTAAAACTCCCCAAGTTCCATCTTCTACACGGTAAAGATCGTAGGAAAATTTTAAATCTTGAGCGAACTTCTGTAGGAGATCTATACAAAAGCCTGAACAACATTTGTAATAATCTGGATTACGTATCGCAACTGAATGATTCATACTGCAAGAAAAAATTAGGATACTGTGAATTTTAAGTAAATGCTAAAAGCAAGGCAAATATTACTGATATTAAAAGAAATAAATTAGTTACAAAATTCAATAAAATTTCAGAAATGTTCATCAAAACATTTTAATCTGTTAATGAAACTAAGAAAATTTCTACAGCGTTCCTAAACAAGTAACTTTTGGTTATGGAAAAATAAGTTTGAATAATAATCTTTCAATTCTGTCATTCTTTAATAGCTTTTAATTAGTAATTCATTTAAGACATTACTGCATTATTTATGGACATAAAAGTAGAATAAATATGTATTCCAGATAATATATATATATATATATATATATATATATATATATGAAATTGCATCAGAATAATTTTTCAAAGTACTAAAGACATAGGAAAAAAGTAAGATTGGACGATGTATCCAGACTGAGCGAGTATTAAATGTATTAGGGAAAGGAATTCCGCAGTACGGCAATGAAGAGGATTCCCTAGGAGAAAGCATTAAATGAAGATCGCTATATGACACATAGAGTAGAATGTCAAAAGAAGAAAAACAGCTGAGTTAGTTGCTTTGGTGTGTAGGCGGCATAAGGATTTTATCAAGCATATATAAGGGCGAGACAGATGAAAACCAGCGAAAGGACTTACGTGACACAAAGGCAAAATCATAAAGATAAAAAAGGAATATAAAATCAGAATATTTGTAAGGACTGTACTTAGAACTTTAGCTTCATGGACGTTTAATAAAATTAGATAAATTCCATGAAATTTATAAAGTAATTAAAATTAAATGTTTCTAATAATAAGGTCCAATAAAAATTCTTTAATAAATATTGATTTAATAACACCAATTATTAAAAAATGAAAATATAATTTGAAATTGCTGCCAGTTACAAATATTGCACTCAAAGCAATAAAATCAAAGGAATGTAGGTTGTAAAATTATGTAATTATCTGTTAATACAGTTTCCAGTTATGCAGTAGAAAAAAATTATAATAACAGAATTCGAGTGAATTAAAAAGAGTTTAGATGGGAAACATATTAATTGACAAATTCAAATATTTTAGATTCTTAGCTATATTAGTAATAACTGCAAAAATTTATTTGCGTCATTTATGTGTTATTAGTAAGTTATTACGTAATAAATATCTAACCCATAAAACTTGTACTCTGGTGCCACTCGACACCTGACAGACCGGCTAGTTTTGCACTCTCCAGTTTCATTATCCGGGGGGAACACGTTCACAAAAGGAGGTTCATCCAGAAAGGTCACTTTAAGGTTGAATTTTTCTGGAACTCCTGGGGGTGGCACTGGACTGTCCCCTGGCCAAACAATATCTTTTATATCTAGGCCTGTGTTTGTCCAGACGCCAATCTGTTAGAGAAAGAGAAAATAATATTTTACCATTAGAAATAAATTTAATATGTTGGCAAGAAAGTAATTTCGGGATTTTAGTGTGAGTTTTTTATATACAAAACTAACCTTTAATCAGTCAGATATTTTCCAATCTATTAATGATATTTTGCCACCGTTTTGATAACTTCATGATTTCGCGCTTCTGATCTTGATCTTGATCAGATTGAACTTCTGATCTTTATCAGACAAAAAGCTCAACTAACTCCGATTTGGAGTCTTCGTTATTACTGAAATTTTTTACCATTTAAGAAATTTTGCAAAGTTCAAAATAAGTGATAATCCGATAGTGCAAGGTCGGGTAATATGGAGGAGGCGACTGCACTTCCCAATCAGTGCATGAGGCCTCGCATTGGCATGGCGGAACATGATTCCTTTGCGATTTGCCAATTCTAACTTTTTTTGAAAACCTCCTCTTATTTGATAAGCTGTTGCTAGTATACAGCTGAGTTGATCGTTGGATTGCTTGAGGCAGCCCAAATTTTACAATAGCTATTAGCTATTTACAATAGCTTAATCCCACCTAATTGACAGCACGATATCCTCTGATGCAATTAAGTTTTCGAGTGCTGATTAATGATGCTTGAACCATTCTCTTTTTCATTTAATGTTATTGTAGACGATCTATTTTTCATCATCAGGGATAATTCATTTTAAAAAAAGGTTGATTGCATTACGTTTGGAATGTGTATAGCAAATATTGATTCGCTGAGAGAATTTCTTTCAATTCATGCGGAACCCAAATATCCAGCTATGTGAATACATCTTATGTGATTTTTACTTGTTGTATGTGATACATTTTGCAAATTCGAGAACAATTATATGATGATGCGATGCAATTACGTAAAATGTGTCGAAAATGTTTATTTTTGCACCCCATGTTAAAACTCATCGTAGACTAACAGTTGTAAGAAGAAATACTCGAAATTAGCTTCTATAGCATCCTAAAAGTGTCAGCTCACAAATTGGTATGTAATAAGCAAAAACGAAATGCAAGATTGACAGAAGAATAACAAAATGAACATAATGCTGTCTATTTGTGCAAATCGAAATTTCTTTTCCTGCCAACCCAATACTTCTTAGATTAAAAAAAAGCTAAATTAAAACTTAATTAATAATAAGTGATAAAAGTCTATGTCTTCACAAAGTCTATGTTGCAGAGTACGCAGTTCTGTACGCAGTTTTGTAAGTTTCTGTACGCAGTTCAGTGAAGTTCTTAGAAGGAATCCAACGATTGAAAATTTAAACATCTTTAACCTAGATAACGTAAACTGAGAAATTTTAATAAACATACATAGGATTTTATATACTCATTTATTCTATGGTATGAAAAGTTGCATTTGAATATTAATCCAGAAAACATTTGCTGTATTATTGCCTTTATTTAGTAAGATGAATAAGAATGTTTAGAAGTTTTCCAGTGATTGAAATAGTGTGAGCATATTAGACTAAATAATGATAAACTTTATTTTTGTTTTTCGATAAAGAATTTGCAAAGTTATGCATATGCACCTTTTTTTCTGTGAAACATATTAAATATCTTTATTCCATATTTAAATTTTTTAGCATGATGTGCAAACTGAGATCTCACATAATAAATATTGAATTAAAATTGCTCTGTAAAATATGTTACATTATATTCGTAAAAGATGGTTATTAACAATTTATTTATTTTTTCTTCATTTCTTAGGTTTTACAGCTTGCAACCTTAATATGTAAATTACCGTTTTAGAATGGATACACGCACTATGTATGTTTTATATTCATTGCTGGAATGATTTGAGAATGATGCGGAGAGATTTTGAAGCGCACATAGATCATCCGTAAAGAAGAATAAAGAAGTCGTTTACATGCAATAGGACGCAGTCGTAGCACATTTAAATCACGATTCTTTTATTTTAATCAAACATTTCGCGGCCACCAATAATTTGGCACATAAATAGTGCCTATTCCAGAAAATTTACATTTTTATTATTGTTGCAATAGGAAGAAAAGAGCGTTGCAAAGTTTTAGCGACAACAGAAACAGAAGCAAAGTGCAAAGCGCTCACAAATAAAGCTTAATTTAGAGTGAGTTAGATTCGGTTTTAAATACATTTGATTGAATATTTAATAAAGCTCTAAGACGATTATTTCCTACTTGAGTTTCAGTTTCATTTTTATTTCCGGAATTGTATAAAAGTCGTATGATAAGGCGTACTCTAGAAATGACGCAGCCCAAAAACATTACTATGAACAACTACTATTTTTAGAATGGAAAGGGAAAATACCCAAATTAAAATGAAGAATTAAGATGCCTAGTGCTAATTTAAGTTATAATTTTGATTTACATAATTTTACTTACGTATATATAATTAATAATCACAATTAACAATTAATAATTTAAGTATTTAACAACTAATAATTAATATAATCTTAGTTTTAAAATTTCTGTAGAATATATACATTTATATGAGAAGAAACAACCATCTCTCAAGTATTATATACCAGTGCAACTTCTAACTTCTGCTTCTAACTTCAGTCTTTATATATATATTTTCCGGCATTTTTCTAACTTCCAAATAAACTATTTCTTTCGGGTCGTGAATGAATTTAATGATCTGTCTGTAAACACTTGTTTGAAATGAATGCATTTGATTACTTTTTCAAATATGTTACAGATGTCTTTTTTTATTTTCCTTTGTTTAATTTTCCTTTGTATAATGTTTGAAGCGTTGTGCGTAAAAGTATAAATATTTTAACTATAGGATCTTACTGTGCAACATCCTATAAACTTAAAGTTGCTTGCGTAAAGTCTCTTTTATGGTCTCAATAATTACTATTTTGTTAAATCGAAGAAAATATTTTAAAAGTTATAATCACTCTTTTCTAACTGAATATATTCAATCGAAAACTTTTCGAGTTAAATATTCTGAAAGTATAATACGGATATTTCTTAACAGAAATATATTTGCGAAAACGCGCAATTTCAAACTTCCAAAAAAGTTTTCGTTTTGTCTCAAATTTTAATGCAAACGTTTACTAATTAGCAAAAGAGAGTTGAAGGCAGAATCATAAACAATTTTTATTCTATTTCTTTCGAAGTACAACGTGCATCATAAAAAGTTATCAAATCCCATCCGTACTTTTCTTACTACCCTATCGAAACCCAATAGAATATTATCGAAAATGTAAGGAGTGGGTTGGAATAAAGCATAACGCAATATTTCTTCAAAAGTTCTGTCAAAAGTAGTTCTTAGAGAGAAATAGAAGAATGTGGAACATCGTTGCATAAAAAATTAGTTGATCTATGCCAAATCGCATGAAAAATGTAATTTTAGAAAATAGGTTATCCAATGAAATATTGAATATCCTGTTATTTGCACGTTATTATTAAACTTTATTTATTTAAAATTTTTAAGTATTTATGTGAATTTATTTTCAGAACTTTTCTAATAAATTATTTTATTTGCTAAAACATTTTGAATATTCTTTTCCACACAACAAGGAAGATTTTAAAACAATGATCGATAATGTATAAGAAATATATTATATAGTCATTTTACTAATATTTATTAACAGATATTTGCACATAAAACCGAAAGATACAAGTATCCTAAAAGAAATGTGAGCTACTGTACGTATGTATATTTTTCGCGTTGTGGAATATTGGCTGAACCTACAACCACTAGAATTTAAAAACACGGTAGTTTTCCACCCGAACATACGCACCTGGAAGGCTCAATTTTGAATTTCTTTTTTATTTGTTTCCTGTTTCTTCAAATTTATGATTTTTGATTCAAAACTCAAAGATTTCAAATTTTGATGCTGTCACTCGCAAAGCGTAAGGTATTTGCATTTCAGGTTTAATCAGTAAATTCCAGCGACATTCTAATCGGTAAAATGTTACAAGGTAAAACGCAATATACACTCTTTAAAAAAAAAAAAAAAAAAAAAAAAAAAAAAAAAAAAAAAAAACGAGAAGAAACGAGAAAACGAGAAAACACACCGAGGAGATATAAAGCAAATTGGACACAAACTTATATACATACAGATTTCGACGGAAAATGTAAAATTTTACATTTTGGCTGCCGATGAGTGAACGGTTCTCGCTACAGCGCATCTGATCTGCGCAACTGGCAGGATATTTAAGAGTAGAAATTACGATTCCAGATCATAAATTCTTCACAAATTTCATTCCGTATACTCTGGTAGACATTAACTATGCCTCGCATACAGCTGTGCGAACGATATGCGCAGATGTCAGAATTTGAGAGAGGTCGTGTAGTTGGCCCAAAGAAGCCGGTTGGTCTTATCGGCGAATAGCTTGACATTTGAGCAGAAGAGACGCCACTATTAGACGATGTTGGCAAGAATAGGTGAACCATGGCCTCACACAGCGTCAAGAAGGAAGCGGTAGTCCTAGAGAAACAACAGAACGTGAAGAACGAGCAATCGTGAGAGCAGCACTCACAGCCCCAGATGCATCATTATCATTGATTGTACGTGCGACTAGTGCTTCAGTGACCGCAAGAACCATTCATAGACGGCTCATAGAAACCGACTACCATTGACCCTCTATACAACGTCAAGCCCGTTTGCAGTGGTGTCGGGCTCATTCACACTGGAATGTCACTGACTGGAGTAGAATAGTCTTCAGTAATGAGGCCCGCTTTGAACTTAGCCCCGATGACCAGCGAAGGCGAGTCTGGAGACGCCCCGAACAGCGGTGTGATACCAACCTGACTGTCTTCTGGCAGACAGGCCGACAACCAGGAGTGATGGTATGGGGTGCCAGTTCATTTCATAGTAGGACCCCTTTGGTTCTTATCCGTTGTAACCTTACAACACAGCGGTACTTCGAAGACGTTCTAAGGCCCGTTGTGTTGTCCTTCATGTCACGCTATCTTGGGCTTACATTTCAGACAAGATAATGCTCGCCCCCACACTGCATATATTTTTACTGCTTGCCTTAGTGCTTCG